TAGAACTGGAACAACTGATTGGTTCAAAATTGGGAAAGGAGTACGACAAGGCTGTATATTGTCTCCCTGCTTATTTAACTTATATGCAGAGTGCATCATGCGGAAGGCTGGACTGGAGGAATCCCAAACTGGAATTAAGATTGCCGGAAGAAATATCAACAACCTCCGATATGCAGATGATACCACTCTGATGGCAGAAAGTGAGGAGGAATTAAAGAACCTCGCAATGAGGGTGAAAGAGGAGAGTGCAAAAAATGGTCTGAAGTTCAAGATCAAAAAAACTAAGATCATGGCCACTGGTCCCATCATCTCCTGGGAAATTGAAGGGGAAGATATGGAGGCAGTGACAGATTTAACTTTCTTGGGCTCTATGATCACTGCAGATGGAGACCGCAGCCACGAAATTAAAAGACGCCTGCTTCTTGGGAGGAAAGCAATGACAAACCTTGACAGCATCTTAAAAAGCTTGCCAACAAAAGTCCCAATAGTCAAAGCTATGATTTTTCCTGCAGTGATGTATGGAAGTGAGATCTGGACCATAAAGAAAGCTGACTGCCGAAGAATTGATGCCTTTGAATTGTGGTGCTGGAGGAGGCTCTTGAGAGTCCCCTGGAGTGCAAGGAGAACAAACCTATCAATTCTAAAGGGGTCTTTGTGGGGTTCTCCATCAATTATGTTAATTTATTGTGCAGCAGTTAAACATCACTCTCTTCTTCTTTTGGCAAACTATTCATGTACATGTAGTGTGGGCAGCTCGTGGTCTTTTAGATATTGTTGTATTGCAATTGTTATCAATCCTAGCCAACATCACCAAGGGTGAGGGAGAATATTAATTGTAGTCCAAAAGTTTCAAAAGGTCTACAAGTTACTTTCTCCAATGTACAGGATTATGCTTAATAATGCTGTTCTATTCCATGCTAATCTTCCTCTTTCCTCCTTCTCTGAAACTCACAATGTATCTATCTGGTTCCTTCCAACTTTACAAGTAATATCATGAGTAAATCAAATACTTGCACAACTACCAGCATTCCTTTTCACCATTATATTTTAGCCGGATTTCCAAAATATTTTGTAAGGTATCACATACCCTCAGGTGATGATATTTCAATTCGAAGGTGAAATAAAGTGATGCCTGAGCATACCCTAAAACACAGGTGTCAAAAACAAGGCCCGCGGGCCAAATCCGGCCCGCCAGACCTCGACTGATGGCCCACCGAGCCGCCGCCAGCCCTGCAGCCTCCCCCCCTTTTTTTCCCCAATGAATTTACTCCGTGCCTGCACGGAGTAAATTCATTGAAAAAATGGCTCAAGTTAACAAGGCTATGTCCTCCTTCCGATTGGCTGTGGCGCTGTCACTCCTTTCCTCTCCCTCTGCCCCCCGCTCCCCCTCCTTCCCTCCCTCCCGTGCCTGTTCCTCGCTCGCTCT